AAAAAAAAAAAAAAAAAAAAAAAAAAAGTGGGAGTTGTGGGCAGGCTTTTTCAGATGGGTTGCAGTGGAAGAGAAAGAAAGATACAGAGTTTTGTGGACCTTTTACTTGCTTCAGCTTCTTCTTCTTCTTCTACCTGTTCTTCCCTGTTCTTCCTGTTCTTGTTCTTTTTTGGGAATGGGAGAGAGAGGGCGGAGAGATGGGAGAGATTGACAGAGAGAAAGAGAAATGTTCCCAAAAACAGGGACTGTGAAGGCGGAGAGGAGTGGGGAGATGAGGTGGTCCAATGTTTTGGCCATCTAATTCTCATTAATTGCTCTATTAAAGCCTTCCACCAAATATATGCTAACCCTACGCGCTCTCCACATCACCCTTCTTCATTACCCATTTCATTCAAATTTTACAAAAAAACAAAAAAAAAAAAACACCTACATTTTCTTCGTTCATTTGGTTCACGGGTTTGAAACATCTTTAGCTTGTATACCTCGTGTATGTTTCGATTGTATACATAAAATTATGGTGGCTAAAAATACTTGAAAATTTAGTAAAACTTGTTATAAAGTTCCATTTATATGAGCGCTATGCGAACTATATTATAAAGGGTCTCAATGTCACACCATATATATTTAAATATATAATAAGAGATAAACAAGAAATGTGCTAATTAAAACATATTTAAAGGGATTGAATAATTAAATATTTATGACGTAAAAAGTTGAAATGAAGGTGGTGTACACGCGCGGAGCAGGGAGAGTGGAATAGAGAATAAATATTCGCGTGTATAAAAGCAGGTGGTCCTATAAACCAAGCTTTCTCCCTCTTCGCTCTTCCTTTCCCCAAAAGCCCATTACGTCATCACCCTCTACTAACCTACGCCCACCCTTCCGTCCTGCGTACGTTAGAAACAACCTCAATTTTTTAAGAAAAATTAAATTTAATCTAACCGTCTCTACTGCTCTACATTTCCCTTACGTAACTTTCATTTAGATTTTATGGGTCCAAAAAAATATATATATAATAAAATAAAATGAATTAAAATTTAGTTTCCAATAATTAGTTAATCTTCTATATAAATATATAAATTTGATTATACGAACGTGACATATTATTAGTTGCAATATGAATTTATGGGGACCATAGACATACCATTAATCCAATATTGACTCCCTTTTCTTACCAATTCTTACAAAGTAAGAGATTGATGTAATGTTGTTACTCATTGAATTTAAACATATTTAATGATCCATTCTTTATTTTTAATTAAAATTAACATTCACTTAGGTTTTCTAAACTATATAATTATTATTTGAATAAATTTAATCTATGTTTAAGTATAAGTAGACAAACTATAGCTTAAAATATATATATATATATGTATGTATATAATGTAGTGAATGAGGGAGGAGAGGTTAGAATCCTGTACAGCCAGAAACAAAAGAAAAAAGTGAACAGCTTTTTGCAGAGATCCAATCTTTATTAATTTCTATTTTTAAAAAATAAAAAAATAAAAAAATAAAATTGTTGGATTATTATTTTTGGAATTTCCATGGACCATTCTACTTGACCCTACTGCTATCCAACCCCTGCCAGCTTTTCCCATAGTCCACCATTTCCATGGACCATTTATTTATTTTTTTATTTATTTATTTATTTTCTGACCAGGAGCTTCAGTTTTGGACCATTCCATTTCCCCCATTAATTCAAATCTTCAAAAATTATTCCATTTAATAAATATTTTAGATTAAAATACTTAATATTATATTTATATTTAAATGAAATAACAATTATTAACCTTTAATTTAATTGTGTAATTAATATCTTATTCAATGCTCTTACGTTAACAACAAAAGAGTTCCATTATGCTATATTAATCACTAACCTAATCATTGCTAATTGTTATGGACTTAAATGTCTCGATTCATTTGAGAATTAATTCATTTCATTTCTTAATTACTTATATTTTCCTAACTAAAAGAACTATATGATTAAGCGTGCTTTACAAATAAAAAAATGTAAGAAAATGTCGGATTACACTCATGCTAAATCTAGATATTATTATTTGTTCGAGTTAAAAATACATGAAAATATGTAGAGTAAATAGATATAAAATAGAGGAATTAATTGAATGCAAATGTTGACAAAAGTGATGAATGATGGGAAAAGAAAGGCATATGATAGCTCTTTGGATCAAGGTTTGAATCTTATTCTCATTCTGCCACGTCATTGCATTTTATAATGTGGGCCACTCATATCACGACACGTGTTCCTTTTATTTGCCACTTCTGCTGAAGTGGCCCCCACGTCATCCTCTAAAATCAACGCCCTCAATTCGCCGGAAGACTCTCCAACGTTTCCCATTATTTATTTTTATTTAAACTTTTAATGTTATTTTTTTCCATCCAAATAAAAAATGAAAATAAGTTTAGAGGCTATTCAATGATAGAATTTAAACGCAAATAAAAATATAATCATAAAATAAAAAGGAAAAAAAGGAGATTTATTTCTTAATAATAAAAGGCGATAATTTTGAGTTATGGAATCAATTTTAGAATACTCGATTATATTTCTAAATAAGAAATATTAGTAGCAAAAATAATAAAATAAAGAAAACAAAAAATAAGCTCCTTAGCCTCCCCGTAAGGTGACTCACCGACACTACAAAAGTCAAAGCAAATGACAAAAAAACCCAACAAAAACAAAACATTTCCTTTGAGAAAAGCAATGCTTTCTAATGTCCTACATGGATTTAATTATTGTTTACACAATTATGACAAGAATCATAAATAAGTGCTCATTATAATAATTATAATTATGTAAATTAAATTTTAAAAAATATATTTTTTTACTTATTTACTCACGATTTAGTCTCCTCTGAATAATTTAATAAAAACTAAAAAAATTAAAAATATTTTTTCCTACCCGTATTAATATTCCGATCAAACTATAAGTATATATTTGAGATCGATTATAATTTTAAATAATTAAAATTAATTTTGTGATGAAAAAAATTATAGATGATTGAAAATTAACTTAATGTAATTAATTATTGACATTAAATTTAATCATCTTATGTTAGTTTTGGTTCAGCCACGTGGTCTAATCCATTAAGGTATCTGTGCTCGTTTCATCCACTTATCAATTTAGGTTAAGAAGATATTTTAAGAAGGGAAAGATATTTTTTAATTGTCAAAAAGAAAAGGAAAAAGAAAAAAGAAAAAAGAGAGTAAAACAATGGCCACTCTTATCGCGGGACTATCTCCATCTTCCTCCAAATTCCATGTCTTCAACTCCAACATTTCAATCCGCTGTTGCAGCGACCAGAGCGCCGGAGAAACAGACTCTACTAACACCTACACTAACACCAATGGCTACTCTTTCCCGAACCCTAACATAATCCGGCCGCCGAGGCCGCGGCGGATAATACTGGTGCGGCACGGGGAGAGCGAGGGGAACGTGGACGAGAGCGCCTACACCAGAATCGCGGATCCCAGAATCAGTCTGACACAGAGGGGGATCAGGGAGGCGGAGGAATGCGGGAGGGATATGAGGAGTATGATCGAGGGGGATGGAGTCGAGGATTGGAGTGTTTACTTCTACGTTTCGCCTTACAAAAGGACTCGCCAGACTCTGCAGCACTTGGCTACCTCCTTTGATCCTCCTCGAATTTCTGGTTTGAGAGAAGAACCCAGATTGCGCGAGCAGGATTTTGGTACCTTCCCTTTTTCTGTTCTTTCTTTTGTCAACTTTAATTTCATCACAAATTTGAAACCACAAGTTCGTGTTTATACTCCGGAATCAAAGGAAACTTTCAAGACAGAGAGCGAATGAGAGTTGAGAAAGCGATGAGAGTGCTATACGGTCGATTTTTCTACCGTTTTCCAAATGGAGAATCGGCTGCCGATGTTTACGACAGAATCACTGGTACAAACCCCTAAACCAAGAATCTCTAAGTTCTTCAACAGTTTCTGTCTGTACTGAAATAAAACAAACAGGTTTCAGAGAAACATTAAAATCAGACATTGATGTGGGAAGGTTTCAGCCGCCAGGGCAGAGAAACCCCAACATGAACTTGGTCCTTGTCTCCCATGGCCTCACTCTCAGAGTCTTTCTCATGAGATGGTACAAATGGACTGTGGATCAATATGAAAGACTCAACAATTTGGGCAATGGTAAAATGATTGTCATGGAGAAAGGCTTTGGTGGGAGGTACGAATAATTTTGACATACTTCTCATCGACAACAACGATCACGATTACGATTCGAACCCGTTTCTCTTTGTAGGTACACTTTGCTGCTACACCACACAGAGAATGAGCTGAGACAATTTGGGCTCACAGATGAGATGTTGATTGACCAAGAATGGTAAGTAAGCTCTTCTTCTCTTCCATTTGCTCTTGTTTGTGGCCTTTCTTGTTCTGTTGTTTGAGTTGCAGAGTGTTGCATTTCAGGCAAAAACATGCAAAAATTGGAGAGTTGAACTATGATTGTGCAATGATGAATTCATTTTTCACACATTTTGATGATGAATGCAATGTTACCTAAGTGTATCTGTTTCTGAATCAGCTTTGTACAGTTAACAATATATAGAAGAAGTAACACAAACCCACTTTTATCAGTTGGGTTTTCATTTTGTTTATATGAACAAATCTTGTTCTTAGTCTGGGACTCATTCCTCATTGCATAAACAAATCTCTCTCACAAAGCAAGAAAACTTGCAAGTAAGTTATCCGTCACTACAAAACTAACTCAGCCATAGTTCATTTTGATAGCATCCATTCAGTTTCATTGCCTTTACGTTCTTGCAACTTGTCATACAAATGCGATGAAGCAAAGAACAACGACAGGTCAATTGATCAAATATTTGCTCATTGGTTCTAAACATACCAGTTTCAGTAGTAACCTATGTACACCCATCTTGGAGATAGCCTGATATCATCGATAGCGTGGAGATAGCCTGATATCATCGATAGCGTCTGTTCCGATACGTCGCTGCAAAAGTAAGGCTTTCATTGAGATAATGCAGCATCCTAAACAAAACATTTGATCAACAAGGCATTTAGATCTCTCCATCATGTCAGCTAATCCCTTTTTCTTTCCATAAGAGGTATCTAGATCCGTGATTATGGCCTAATTAAAGAGAATGTTGATATGGAGTCAACTCAAGGGCTCTAATAAAGTCAAACCAATAATAAAACACATCAATCTTCATACATTGGACTTGATCATTGATAGATAAACAAGAGCTTTCCAACAGTAAATCAATGACTTTTCAGGCATAACTTCTGAATCT